CTTGTCCCGCTCGGGCGCTGCCGCGGAGCAGGGGTGAGGCCGGCCCGCGGTTCCGAGGGGAAGCTCCGGGCCTTTTTCTCATTCTTCGTCCCTTAAGTGGGTGGAAGTTCGCCTCCCCTGCGCCTGTGGTCATTCTCCGCCTCTTTGTCTGATCCGGCCGCTGTGCCCGTGGCCAGACCTCACCAGCAGGCTAGCCGAGTTGCAGTGACGGGCATGAAATCTTTCCAAGGAGGTTCCTGTGGAGGTTTTAGGTGCAGCCTTTTATTTTTACAATTTTAAATGCATTTGTCTTCTTAATTTCCTAACCCCTCAGTGTCCACTCACCCATTATGCTCATTTCATTCCTTCCCCCAGGCCCACAGGCTAAAGAAGCCAAACATTCGTAGGAAGAGTTGTGGTGGACTGTGCCATCAGAAGGGCCATCAGTTGGAAGACTTGGATTCACTTCTGAATTTGGCTCAGGGTGTTGAAATGCCGGGCACTGTTCCCCCAGTGGGAACAGCAAATCAGTGCTTCTAAAGGCAAATAGGAACCATGATGTTCTCTGGCTTTTTAGACCATGAAGTCGGGAATGAAGACTGGGGGGCTTTTTCATGGAGAACGTAACATGCGTTCAGGCATGACTGGCAAAGCCCCGTGCATGTGGTTTAATTTGTTTTTACTTCTGCACATCTGTGCTTTTCCTGTTTTCAGAGAACAGTGGCAATAGTCTCTGTGAAATTACCCTTCCTTATTTGATTAAGAGTCTGTATTTCTTTCCTGTCCTTTGAATTCTACTCTAGAAAGAAAAGGGCCTGTTTTACTCTTTGTTGCACAAACATTAAAACAGTGTTAAGAGAAATGGGGGGGGGAAAACAAACCCCACTTCATTTAGGATTATACTATCTCACCGGATTGAAATATACTGTTTTTGCTGGACCCTAATCTATCATAGATGTAATGTGATTTTGTGCCCTACCGTATTCATTTAAAAGTGAAAAATACAGGCATTTTCTTTTGGTGTGGTATATAGGCTTTGTCATTTTCCCAGTGGCTGCACAATACCAATGGCTATTTAACAGTTATTTTCTTGATGACCTCTAGACCTACCCTGATTTTCTTTTTCTTTTTTTAATTTATTGATTTTGAGAGAGAGAGAAACATCAGTTTGTTGTTCCACTTATTGACGTGTTCATTGGTTATGCTTGTATGTGCTCTAACCGGGGATTGAACCTGCAACCTTGGCATATTGGGACGATGCTCTAACCAGCTGAGCTACCCGGCCAGGGCTACCCTGATTTTCTTTTGAAGACTAAGTGATCCCATAATTTCTTGTTTTTGTATTATAGACTAGATTGGAAAGGTATTTCTAAGGGTCAGTTTGAACTTAGAAATAAAGCCTGAAAGTCACATTGAAATGTTAAAGAGTACTATTCTCTCATCATTTAAAGCCGAGTTCATTACATATCTTTTGAGCATTCAGGATAGTTACCGGTAGGAAATTACAGAGGAACCAGAGGGAAGGGTACACTGTCTTTGAACTCATGTGCTCCTTCTGATAGGTTTATCAGTACTCAATTGAGTATTCACAGTAAAAACATTTCATTAGGCTATAGTTTGTGGCTCTGCCTAAATCACTAGAAAACCTGAACACCCTGCTGGTTTGTGCATAATGGAAACTTGGCAGTCACCATAGCTTCAGATCAACTTCCAGAGTTCTGCCATTTCTGTGGAGGAAGGCTGGGCTGTAAGGAAACTTAGCCCACTGTCCTAAGTGGGGGACTTTATGCATGCATGGCTTCTCAGAAAGCTTAGGATATGAAAAACCCCACTGGGGCACAGCATTTTTTACCTTATTTGCTTTATCCCTTCTACATTTGAGTCTCCTCCCCTCTTTTCCCCCCAGTCATTCTCTCCTGGCATCTCTGGCTGATAGAAAAACTGCTAACATGAGTGCCAACTTTCGCCAGGCTGTGGCTGGGTATTTGTACAGGGGTGGGCAAAAGTAGGTTCACAGTTGTGACATTCTTTTGAGTTAATAAAGTGATTGTAATAATCATAACCTGCATGTCTTTTTCCACACAAATGTAAAATGATTTTTACCACCCCTGTATATTACTCATCTTTTTCCATATGCACATCTGTAAACCTATTCCTGCCTATCCCTGTATATTACTCATCTGATCCTCAACTGTAACCCTGGAAGACATTTTATACCCATTTACTGGAAGAACAGATGGGGTTCAAGAATAAAAGGGAACTTGCCCTAATCACACAGCTAGGAGAGGGCAGAGCCAACGGTTCAATTTCATATCCCTCTTATCACCCGTGGTGCCAGCTCATCTCATTCTGCCTCGCTGCGCACGCACACTGCAACATCTGTGTGTACAGTAGAGGCCTACGACCCACAGTAGTTTCTACTGTATCTTGTTGGTGCATATGCATTTCTCCAGCCTTGCAACTGAAAATCCGAGGAAAGGGATGCCCATTTCCTCAGCCCCAGCCTTGGGGCCACTCAAATTGAACATGAGGTAAAACGCCTTATTCTAAAGCATCAGAAAGTCTTCCAAGACTGCCTGTTGTCTTTTTTGCACATGTTCTCAGAGCACTGAATCATAGGCATGGAGTAGTGTCCTTATATATGCCTTCTCCCTTATTTAATAACTAACTTAAATTCCCCCCCCCACTATCACCACCTCTGGCAACATGCTGGTTCATTAAAGGGGAACCCATAATTTACTGTGTACAGGGGTCAGCTTATGTTGCCCCATCAAGTAATGTTGAAGGAGCCCTTGGAATGTCCATGATCTGAGCCTTTAAGAATTTTCCTTACACAAGATTCAGGGTTCTTTTGGCTCTAAGACAGTCTGTTTCTCTGTTACATACAGAACCTGCTGCATCCCCAGTGAAACCAGTAACAGTGGGATATCTCTCGGTCAAGATAAAACAGTCCAGCCACAATGTCTTTCTATTCATTCATTCAACAGCTATTTATAAAGCTCCAGCAATAAACTGGGCATTGTGCTTGGGATTAGACATGAAATGGTGGACAAGTTGGCTTTCATGGAATTCACATTACAGTGGGGGAAGATGAAATAAACAAGTTTTTAAAATCCTACTAAATGTGATAAGGGCTCTGGTGGGGGGAGAGGGCTGAAGTGATACTTTAGGTAGGTTGGTGAGGAAAACCTGAGCAGGTGACATTTGAGCTGAGCTTGAAGAGGGAGGAGAGCTGAGCATTCTGGAGAAGAATGTTCTAGGGAGAAATGAACAGCAAATGTAAAGGTCCTGAGATAGACAAGACCTTGGTGGTTTGAAGAGCAGAAAGGTGGTGTAGCTGGAGGTGGGGAATGAGAGGAAGGTAGGACCCTAAGGCTGGGAAATTAGTGAGGGCTGGGCCACCCAGGGCCTGTGGACCACTCATGGACCACTTTAAGAAGCCAAAGGCAAGCTTTAAGTTGGAGTCGGTGTTTGTGATATGATCTGGTTTTAATAGACTATTGCAGCTGCCATATAAAGAGATTCTGTATGGGGACAAGCAGGGAGACCGATTTTTATAGACCAGAGATGTCAACGTCTTGATTTAAGGTAGGATCTGTGAAACTATAGAGCAGTGGACTGCTGTGAACTATATAAATACATATATATTAAACCAAGGAGTCATCCTTGACTTTTTTTTAAAGATTTTTAAAAATGTTTTCATTGATTTGAGAGAGAGAGAGAGAAACCGATTGGCAGCCTCTCCTCCACACCGCCTTCTGGGGATCAAGCCTGCAACCTGGACATGTGCCTTGACCCAGAATCCAACAGGTACAGGGGACAATGCTGAACCAACTAAGCCACACCGCCAGGGTGTGAAATACAGTTTGAAGGTAGTGTTGACAGCACTTGCATTTGGAGAATAAGACACAGAGGAATTGAGGACACCTTCCAGGATTGGATCTTAGGCCTCTGAGATCTGCTGGTGGGGCACAGATCTACCTTCAGAAGGCACAGTGCTTTGGGCTAAGTTTAAAGTGTGCTAAGGAGTGTCCCTGGGTCCCTACCTGTTTCTCCCACAGTTTTGATGGAGGTGGGGGTAGAGTGGGCCTAAGGAAACTTGGCCAGGGGGAAGCAAGGGAGAAAGTTGAAAGAGAAAGTGAGGAAATGAATAAATAAACCCTGCCTAAATAATAGCTTTATTAGGTTTGGTTTCCATACCCAGGACTAAATCACCTTTCCTCAAACCCACTAAAGCAGGCTGATGATACTCGACTCCAGCACTGGGTGACCATTAGGGCTCCACCACCTTAAACAGAGGTGCCTTGCATGAGTGGGTGTGTTTCCTGTGACACTTGAGAGCTGTTCTTTTCTGGGGGAAGAGAATAGGCTCAGTGTGTGGGAGGTGATTTGCATTTTACATCACTTAGGTCTTAGGTGTGATTTCTTCAGGAGGCTAGATTGTACCCTGGCAGATAAGGGAGAAATGGAAACATTGCGCTGCACATCTCGCAGTAAAACATTTGTGCTCTCCTTCCCACCGAGCCCCAGAAGCGAGAGATCTGCTCCCAGCACAGTTGCTCTTACCTGTTCCTATTGCCCAATTTTGGCTTTGCCCGTCACAGAAGCTGCCTGAAGTCACATGGGGGGGGGGGG